AAAAAAAAAAAAAAAAGACTATTTAAAAGAAAGATTTCTGAGCCAGGCTACTGTAACCAAGCAGGAAGATGCTACTGAAACTTAAGTTTGACTGAAGACATGCGGTCTTGGATGTTAACAAAATGTTATTGTTGTTTTTTGACTAAGCAGTCTGTACCTCTACCTTCATGTTTAATTCAGAAAATTCCATTTCATGAAACTTTAGGCTCTGAAGTGAAGAAGTGAGCACAACTCTCATGCAGTAATACTGCCAAGGCAAAGATAACGCACTGTGAGGTGTCCCGAAGGACAATACCATATAAGGAAGTGGGTTGTTGAGAACGTGGATGACTGGTCCGCATATCACTTTTTAAAAGAACTGAGCACTAACTTTGCAAGGTTGCGAAAGCTATCAGAAGAAGCATCTGGATCTAAGAGAATATGGCAAAGCTATCTGAATGAACACCAATTTTTATCTATTCTAAATGTTAAGACGTATTTTTGAATGTTAATTCATAGATATTTGTATACCCCAAAAAAGTATCTGGTGAGCAGAGTTGGCCAAGAGAAAACAGATTAGCTAACAGGCAGATGGTGGAGTCAGTCTGTGTATACCTTAATAAAGTATCTTGCTCCCTCCACAGTGTACAGACCTTCCTAGGACAGATGTGTGGCCAAGCTATTTCAAGAACGTTTCAAACTCCCCAAGTCATACTGTCTCAAGAGAACTCTGGAGATACAGCCCCCGTCCTTTGGTTCTCACCCAAGAAAGGCTTTTAAGTATTTTCAGGGTCTCTCCTTTATCCATTTTTAAACCAATTCAGGGCATTTTTTAGCATTCATTGGTTCTCCCAAGATACTGCAACAGCCATATCCCTAGAGTTGCAACGGTTCTCAAGAAAGCATCATTTAAGGGCGTCTGGGTGGCTCAGTTGGTTACGCGACTGCCTTCGGCTCAGGTCATGATCCTGGAGATCCCGGATCTAGTCCCGCATCGGGCTCCCTGCTCATCAGGGAGTCTGCTGCTCCCTCTGACCCTGCCCCTCTCTTGTGTGTTGTCTCTCTCTCAAATAAATAAATAAAATCTTAAAAAAAAAAAAAGCATCATTTATTATAGCACCAGGTTGGACTAGACAGAGTCAAGAACTTTGGACTATATTTCCAACTCTTTCTCTGACCCACTGAGTATTGTTTCTTCCTTTGCCCATTTTTTTTTCATTCAAAAAACATTTACTCCTTGCCTACTATGTGCCAGGTTCAATTCTAGGTGCTGTGTCTCCAGGACCAAGGAGAGATCAAGTTCCTCTCACAAAGCAAACATTCTAACGAGGGGAACAAACAAATAATTCCAGATAGACTGAGTGCTAGGAAGAAAATAAGCACAGTAACAGGATTCAGTGATGGGGACAGGACAGAGAGGAGGGGAAGAAGAGCCCTACTTTAGCCAGAGGTCCAGGAGGGGTGACAGCTCGGTGGAGATCTGAGTGATAAGCGAAAGATCTGAGGGAAAAGTTCTCCAGGCGAAGGGAACAAACACAAAGGTTCTGAGGTGGTAGAGTCGAAGGAACTGAAGGAAGGGCTGGGAAGCCAAAAATGAAAGAAAGGGAGAGAAGGATAGAGACAAGCAGGAGAGGTGGCAGGGGCTGGAGAACCGAGGGCACTGCCTGTTGCAGGAGCTACACCATCTCAAATCTGGGGCGGACTTCAGGAGGACCAAGTAGCTGCAGGCCACTGCACAGAGAATGATGATGTCTGCTTTAGAACGGGGCCTCAGGGACTAGGGTGAAGACATAAAGCCCATCTTCAGGTCATCCTGGGGCCAAACATTACTCAGCTGACCAATCCTTATGGCCTCCTCTAGCCCAATCCCCTGGTACTGGAACCCCCTGGCACTATCCGGGACTTAGTCTACTTGGTCTGTTCTAGAGATGGGACTCATGCCCCTTTGACAGCTACACTGAAGTTCTTCCAAAATCCGATTCCTTGTGACTTTTACTCATCTGCCTCCATATATCCTTCTGGGCTCTACCAACAGCTAATAACATTCCAAGAATTCCCTTCTCAGGCAAATCAGACCAGTTGCTTTCAGTTACTCATCTGACTTTCTAAACTTTTTAACTTTTTATTATGGAAAATTTCAAATGTCCACAAAAGCAGAGAGAACAGTATAATACATCTGCATTTACCTACGACCAGATTCAACAACAATCAACTCATGACCAATTGTGTTTCCATCTCTCTTTTTGATTTCCTTCACCAACTTGGTCATTAAATTTGTCTCATAGATGTGGTGTGGCCAACCCGGGGTATTAGCAGCTGACTCTCTGGAGACATCCCGTTTCTACTACTACAGCTAACCGTCCTATTACATGTGTGGCAGCCATACTGTTGCTTCATAATGTTGCTTCAAACTCTCCAACCGGAATTTATGCAGTAGGGCTTTTGAACCCCAGTGAAGGAATTTATGTTTGCTCCCAGTGATTTTCACCTTATCAGATTCAGCCCATTCCTTCATGCTACCGTAATCTTTTTTGGATCTTGACTCTCTAATATTTATTCACCATCCCTCCCAGCTTTTGTGATACCTCTAAAATTTTGGGAAATAGAGTCATCTCTATCCTCTTTGAGTTTAAAAGATTATGAATTAGAATGAATGAATTAGAAAAACAGTAGAGCCAAAATGGATCAGAGAAAACTTTGGTTCAATTCCTTACTCTACAGATGAGAAAACTAAGGCTCAGAGAGTCTGTGTCTGGTTCAAGGCCACCCATTAGGTAAGGCAGGACAAGCTAGAGCCTAGGCCTCATGCTCACCGCTCCCTCGACCAACTCCTACCTCTGTTAAGTCCCGAGGAAAGAAAAGGCGGGTCATCACCAGCCAGGCTAGTGACAGTGGGCCACTGCAAACTGATTTCTAGTCAACTGCCCAGAATAACCTACTTATCTGACAAATAATTATCAGGTGTTGCTCTCTGCCAGGCCCCACTGCTCTCAATGACTTTCCCAGTCTCTCCCACTCTCAGAGATTAGGTTGGAAATCATTTTTCTCCGTTCTTACTTAATTCCTGCATTATTTAGAACTATGTAACTGAATTAGAGTTAGGAATGTCAATGTTCATAAATAATAAAGGATTCACATCTATTAGAAATGAGAAATAGTTTGTTATTCAAAAAGCCAAAAAATAGCTCATTTAGAGGAGACACTTAACAAAATATACATCTTAAAAATTCAGTCCTCAAGAATCCTTTTTACAACTGTTTCCATTTGAGAAACAAAGGATTAAATGGGCAATAATTACAGATACAATTCACACAATAACTTGGATAATACACAATAAGCATCGTGATGTTTTTCTGAGATTTCTCTCTGTGGTTCACTAATCACGCACTGGGGAGGGCCCAAAGTTCAAATGTGCACAGCCCAGGGGGTCTCCCAACAAAGTGGCAGTGCCCTGGGGAGGAAGGGGGGTGTCCTTCCCTCAGAGAATAACATTAGGGGGAGGAGGGAGACCTGGGAGCTTGACAAAGAATCCAGCTTCTTATCCAGTCTGCTGCCACCATCAACTGTCAAACCATTTGCTCCTCTTTGCAAGAGGTACTCCTTTAGAAGGTCCCAGTAATTTCTGCTTATATTGTTCGACCAGCTGATTGAAGCGGATTTCGGTCTTATTTCCCTTAGCTTTTTTCCCAGAGGCCTATAAATGAAAGGTAAGGAAAAACAAGATCAATTTCAAGCACTGAATGTCACCTTACCTTCATGCCACCCAAGAGAGAATATAAGAAATCTTGTCGGCCATAGGAGGTGGACATTCAGAGAGTGACCCTTAGAAAAACCCAAAATGAACCATCCATTGGCAGAAACCAGACCAGGAATGCCTAAGAGAAGGGCCCCACTAAAACACTGTGCAGATGCTTCAGAGCTCTCACTCTCAAACGCTTCTGCAAGAACCTTCTCGCAGATGAGTCAACCCAGAGTTCTCACCTTCTTGCTGGCCCTTTCCCTCAAGGAGAATCCTGCTTATGGGATTTCAGAGATAGAGCTCTGTAAGATAGTACGGTATGGGTCAGACTTCCCAGAGGCACAGATTCCTTGAGTAGGAGAAGCTAATGCTTCTTTTACCCTTGAAACTTAAAGGAAAGGGACAAGAGAAGGGGAAAAGAAATCTTAACCTCAAATGTTCAAGAATGTAGAACCACAATTTTCTACTAAAAGGAACTAGGGCTGCTTGGAAAAATGGCTAATGCCAGGACCAGGAAAGAAATATGTAAGATGAGCTGGGACATCTGGTTGTACCAGAAAGCAAGGACACCACCAAAGGCAGGGCATATCAGAAGGACTCAGGAGCCAACCTGAAGGGCCTTCTGCTGGCCTAAATGGGACAAGAATAATAACTGCATTTGATTGCAACATATCAGGTATATAAAAACTCAGGAATCTGGGGTGCCTGGGTGGCTCAGTCGTTAAGGGTCTGCCTTCAGCTCAGGTTATGATCCCGGGGTCCTGGGATCGAGCCCCGCATCGGGCTCCCTGCTCGGCAGGAAGTCTGCTTCTCCCTCTCCCACTCCCACTCCCCCTGCTTGTGTTCCTGCTCTCGATGTCTCTCTCTCTGTCAAATAAATAAATAAAATCTTAAAAAGAAAACAACAACTCAGGAATCTGTAATACTAAAAAGATCTTATTGGTCACCATAGGAGGTTGGTAGGGCACCAACTCGTTACTCTGAAAACTGATAAAGAGAAATTAAATCAAGCATTTATCCTGCCTTTCCTATACATATGGTATTTCATGGTAACCATATAGTTGACAAGGGAAGATTTTTTTCTCTAGAATTCTACCAAAATAATGCAAAAGAACTGAAAAACAAACAAACAAACCCAAAAACAAAACGCTAGAAAATCACCATTCTGCACCCCATATTGAAATCATGGATCTAGACAGTAATCATCAATGGGTGCTAAAACCATTAGGTGAGAGACTGATGGGAACTTCACAAATGGAAGAGAGGAGGACAATCTCTAAGCCTACAGATCTACTAATCAACCTGAGCATCAGCTAAACATGGGGTAACCAGACGTTATGTGCCTTAGGATGCTGATGCGACAGAAAGCCCAGCACCACTCATGAAATACTCTTGCCAAGAAACCTGAACTTGAGGGGCACGTGGCTGGCTCAGTCGGTGGAGCATGCGACTCTTGATCTCGGGGTTATGAGTTCAAGCCCCACACTGGGTATAGAAATGATTTAAAAATAAATAAAATCTGTACAAAAAGAAAAAGAAAACTGGACTTGAATCTAATCAAGCCTGTACATCTAACTACCAGTTTATAGACAATACCCAGGCATCACAGGACAGGCGAAATGACACAAGGCAGCAAGCAGCTAAACTCAAAATGTAATACATTCTAAAGGGCAAATAACTCAGTTTCTCCAACAAATTATCAGCATGGAAAAAAGGGGGCTGATGAGGAAGACTGAGTTATTATAGGAAAAAAAAGATTTAAGAGATATAAAAACCAAATGTAATGTGTGGACTCTGTCTGGATCTTAATCTGTACTAACCAACTACAAAAGAATATTTCTGAGGTAACTGGGGACATTTTAATACGGGCTGCATATTATATGATATTAAAGGCTTCTTATTAATTTCATTAGATATGATAATGGCATAATATGTACATATTTTTAAGGCCCAGTCAGTTGGAGATGCATTCTGAGGTATTTTTCTGAGCAATACACCTCATTTTCATATAAGGCATATTTACATGTGAAGCTGAGTTTGCCTTAATATACTCTGGGCAGGGGGCGGTATGTATGAAGAATAGGTAAAATAAGAGAATGACTGAAGTAGAGAAACTAACATGTGGGTTCTTTCTACTTTTATTTTATTTATCTATTAATTTAGTTAATAACTTATTTATTTACTTATTTCTTATTTATTTTATTTAAGATTCTTTTAAGTAAAGCTCCATGCCCAGTGTGGAGCCCAACTGGGGCTTGAACTCACAACCCTGAGATCAAGACCTGAGCTGAAATCAAAGTCAGATGCTTAACCGACTGAGCCACCCAGGCGCCCCTAAGATTTTTAAGTAATCTCTACACCCAGCATGGGGCTCGAACCTACAACCCCGAGATCAAGAGTTGCATCCTCTACAGACTGAGCCAGCCAGGTGCCCCCATTTCAAGTTTATTTATTTATTTTTTTGAATAATTTCTACATCCAACATGGATCTCGAACTCATGACTCCAAGATCAAGAGTCACATGCTTTTCTGACTGAGCCAGCCAGGCGCCCCCAGGTTCTCTCCACGTTTACAACCCCACACCTCGACAGCCTCTAAAAGAGGGTGTTGCAATCCAGAAGCCCTTTCTTTTTGCTTAACTAATCAGGGCACAAAAGTGGCTACCAGCTGAGGCACAGCCCTGCCATACCAAAGCCTCGTGCCCTACAGAACTCACCTGCTTGGAAGGTAACATCTGCTTCTCTGGCTTCTGCTGGGTCATCTGGGGCTTTGGCTTTTTGGGAGGGAGAGACTTCACTTTGCCTTTGTCCCGCAGCCTGAAATAAGAGGTCAGGTAAGTGTCACTCTGAGTTCTCCCTCTAACTGGCACCTCCGAGGCCAACTCAGCCACAGGATAAAATTCCTTATCTTACACTGGCTCTTTCCTAAGCCCAGGATAAGTCATTCTAAAAAGGGAAACTAACAGAATAGCCTAAGGCTTAACATTTTTATACTCTTTTATTTCAGCTTAAAACCTCACGGGATTCCCCAAAACCGTCATTTATTTAACAAATATTTTGTAAAGACTGACTTTTGTTGATAGCATGAATCTGCTGCCTCAAACAGGATCTGCAAGATGAACTCAAGTACGTGGGCCTCAGCTGACAGAGACAGCCCTCTGGGTGGGAGGAAGCTCTTCAGATGAGGAAAACAATGGCACAAGAGCTGCCCTAGGAGTTCCTCCGAGGCCCCCTCCACTAGTCCTATTCCAGCCTCCAATTGTTCCAACAGCGGCATGTCTGCCAGTACAGAGATGCTTGCACGTTAACCCTTTATGGGGACTGACACAGTGCTAAACGTACCTTTCATCCAAACAAAAGCCACAAAGAGGAAAAGGGCTAAGCAAAACCAACCCCTCCGAGGAGCCACCCGCTGTGCTACGCCACCACTCTGCATCTCACCTAATTTTGGGGCCTCGGTGCGAGGGAAGCACCAGGACCTTCTGCATCTCACCTAATTTTGGGGCCTCGGTGCGAGGGAAGCA